GTGTGTTTGTAGTGTGTGTTTGTGGGGTGTTTGTGTGTATGTGTGTGTGTGTGTGTGTGTGTGTGTGTGTGTGTGTGTGTGTGTGTGTGTGTGTGTGTGTGTGTGTGTGTGTGTGTGTGCGTGTGTGTGTGTGTGTATGCGTGTGCGTGTGTGTTTGTGTGCGTGTGTGTTTGTGTGCGTGTGTGTGTGCGTGTGTGTGTGCGTGTGTGTGGGCGTGTGTGTGTGTGCGTGTGTGTGTATTTGTGGGGTGTGTGTTTGTGGGTGTGTGTTTGTGGGGTGTGTGTTTGTGGGGTGTGTGTTTGTGTGGTGTGTGTTGTGTGTGTGTGTGTGTGTGTGTGTGTGTGTGTGTGTGTGTGTGTGTGTGTGTGTGTGTGTGTGTGTGTGTGCGTGTGTGTGCGTGTGTGTGGGCGTGTGTGTGTGTGTGTGTGTGTGTATTTGTGGGTGTGTGTTTGTGGGGTGGTGTGTTTGTGGGGTGTGTGTTTGTGGGGTGTGTGTGTGTGTGGTGTGTGTGTGTGTGTGTGTGTGTGTGTGTGTGTGTGTGTGTGTGTGTGTGTGTGTGTGTGTGTGTGTGTGTGTGTGTGTGTGTGTGTACAGTGCAGTAGTTTTAAAGTTATATATTTTTTTCGTTATCAATGTTTTTCGTACATATTTAATTCTGCTGAATGATGTACAATGTATATATATTATCCTTTTACTGTTCATAACTATATTGAAAATAAAAAATAAAATCCTTCTCTCTTAACACAAACCTATGGTGCTCTTGATTAACATATAATCTTGATTAACAGATAATGCTGTTCTACGGTCTACTTCGTGAGTAAATACTAAAAGAGATTGTCGCTAAAATGTCCGATATATACAAGATAAAGGCCTGTGCCCACCTAGGCCTATTAACATGGACGCAGGGGTTCATATATTCCCATCCTGATACCTGGACCCCAGAAATAGTGACACAAATAACCACGGCTAGGGGCAGTGCCCATACAACATGGGGCATGAGATTGAAGGTATATTACTGAATGGAAAAGCAAAGCTCATCTCACTTGTTTGGAAGGACGACTATGTAATACTGCCAGTGAAAAAAAAGGTATATGAAAATCTGAATAGCCGAATTACGAACGAATGGAGTTCGATGTAGCCTTATATAGACCTGTACAGAACTCTGTCCAATTCTTTAAGGAACTGAGGGGCTAAACAATGTGACATATAAGCTTAGAGTCAGAAAGTTGCATCATATGTAAAAAGCTTCGCCAACAGGGTCTTGTGCCCTTTAATGTT